AAAAAAAAAAAAAAAAACCTCACTAATCTTAATTTAAAGATAAGCCATGGATATGTGATATAGCTCAGTCAGTGGCAGAATGTTTGTCCTGCACTCAAGATGCTTACGGTTCAATCACTGCTGCTATTAAATAAACAACACCTTTTCCTTCTTCTTCTTTTTTTCTTTTTGATGTCCTGGAACTTAACTCAGAGATCCAGAATGGCCTGTCCCTGCCTCCTGAATACTGGGACCAAAAGCATGGGCCACCACTGCCCAGTGACACCCCTAATTTTACAAAAGGCTTGAATACACTTTGTACCAAGGGAGATAAACAGTTTGCAAGTGACACAGGGAAGGTGCAAAATAAAAGCAAATTAAAACCATAATTAGGTTACCTACCAGGAGAGACTAATAAGGCAAGAGCTGGGGCTGGAGAGATGTCTCATTTGTTAAGAGATTTTCTTTTGGTTTTTTGATATAGGGTTCCTCCGTGTGGCTGTCCTGGAACTCAATCTGTAGACCAGGCTGGCCTCGAACTCAGATATCCACCTGTGTCTGCCTCCTGAGATTAAAGTTGTGTACCGCCTATCTGGCTGGGTAAGAATTCTTGTTGCTCTTGCTGAGGTTCCCAGCACCCGCAAGGCAGTTGACACCCACACACACACACAAACACATACACACACACACAGGCAGAACACTCATATAATAAAAAATAAGTAAATCTCATTTTTAAAAGTACTTCCCTCTTGGGCTGGAGAGATGGCTCACCTCGAAAGAGTATCTTATCACCAAGCCTCATGACCTGGAGTTGGCTCTCCGGAACCCACACGCTAGAAGGCAAGAACTGAGTCCTCTGAGCCTCTGTGTTCCCCCTGTAACCCACATGTGCACTCCAATAAATAAATAAATGTGCTTTTTAAAAAGTACTTTCCTTGGGCTGGAGAGATGGCTCAGAGGTTAAGAGCACTGGCTGTTCTTCCAAATGTCCTGAGTTCAATTCCCAGCAGCCACATGATGGCTCACAACCATCTATAATGAGATCTGGTGCCCTCTTCTGGCCTGCTGGCACACATGCAGGCAGAACACTGTATAAATAATAAATAAATAAATCTTTAAAAAATTAAAAGTGCTTCCCTCTTAGATTGCTGTTTCATCAGGTCATGAATGTTATCATGCAGCAGTGTCTCATGAAGACAGAGGTGTGTCCAGAAATCATAACAACTCCGTAAATGCAGAAGCTGTGGACAGTAGATGGTAGTGTCCTTCAGGCAAATTTTATATAGTGCAAAAATTCATGGCTTGTCATACTTAAACTGTATTTCAGAAAAAAAGATAGTTCCTTTATTAGAATTACACATAGAAGAGCCATGAGTGGTGGCACGCGTCTCTAATCCCACCATTCACTCTGGAGGCAGAGGCAGTCGGATCTCTGTGAGTTCTAGTCCAGCCTGGTCTATAGAGAGAGTTCCAGGACAGCCAGGGCTACACAGAGAAACCCTGTCTCCCAAAACCAAATAATAATAACAATGATGATCATGATGAAGAATTAGAGAGGAAGACAGGAAGAAGCCAAGTTTGCATGACAATATCTTTTTATAAGATTTGTTTTAACTATGCATATGTGCTAAGCTGTGTGGTGTTCCTGTGTATGCCTAACTATGTGTAAATGTGTGTTTGTGGAGGAGGGATGTGAGCCTGAAGCTGGTGACAGGGGTCTTCCTTCCTTGACTACTCTCCTATCTTACGTACTGAGGCAAAGTCTCTCAGTGCACATGGAGCTCATGGGTTCCAGCATGACTAGCCAGCTTGCCTGGGATCCCTCCTTTCTGCCTCCGGAGTGCTATGGTTGAGGGCAGCTGCCATGGCTGTCCTGCTTTCATGTGAGTGCTGGTGACCCAAGCTCCAATCCTGCCATAACGTGGCAGGTACTTTATCGGCTGAACCATCTCCCTGTCCCTGTCAGTAGCTTTTATTTAAGGCTTTCCCGTTCCGTTAGCTTCTTGGAGAAGCTAATGGCCTGTGTAATAAGGCTTTATTGTGTCGGGCTATTCTGACCGGGTTTAAATGTTTTGATCTGCACTTGTAGATTTAGGGAGGACAGTTGAATAACATTTGTCAGAAATGGCAAGAAGATTAGCTTGAA